AGTGCAGCCAAAGTATGGGGGAGTTCTGTGTATCTGCTGGGTAGGGGTTGGTAGTGATGGTGGGATAAGCAAAGAGTTCTGTTTAAGGTGACGGAGAAACAAAGAGGTTATCCTGTTAAAGGAGAGACTCCACCCTCACGTCCATAGATGCAATTCTGTTCCTTTTCAGAACTCGGAATTCCTTTCCCCCTCTTTCCACATGGTGAGCGTGCACTCATTCTTCAACTCTGGCTTAACTGTAGTCTTCTCTGTGAAACAGGTAGAATTAATTGTTCCCTCTGATGTGGGCCTCTCTTCTGTATCTATTATAGAACTCTTTATTCTCTTATCACTACTGCCCCGACTTACGGGTAGCTGTTTACTCTCTACCTCCCTCCAACCCAGTGAACATCTCAAGGCTGGGTCAAGCCTTATTTGTATCCCCAGCACAGTTCACAGCATACTGTACCACTCAAAAACAAAAGCCAAAGCAAAAAACAAGTATGTGGAATAAATTAATGTGGGACAGATAAGCTAGGTTGAGGTGAGAGTATAACAGCACTCTAGCTGGTCTTAAGGGCTGCTTCAAGTTAACACACTCCTTACTTGCTGCCTGAAGGCCCCTGATCTGTAACAGAACTAACATACTTTCTTTGAGATTTGCAGACCATTGGTCTTGAGGAGTGAAGGACCAGAACTTTCCCAGACCAGAGAGGCCAGCAAGTCTGTCTGAAGTCACCTTGGCTTTCCGACTAGCCCAGCAAATTTTGGCAAAATGTTTTTCTTTTTCAGGTCACACAAAAGATTTTACTGACCTCCCTCTGTGTAGCTGTAGAACTTGCCCTCCTTTGTGGAAAGAACAGTGCTTCTGTGCATCATGAAACAAGAACTGGACCCCCTCACACAACCCCTGAGCCCTGAGAGAATGTCTGTAGCTGGCACCATCGAGTCTGCGTGTGATCAACAGATGTTACTGGCCACCGCACTCACTCTGCTGATTAACTACCCTAAACTCCTTTAAAAACTCCTGGGCCATGCAGAAACCTTGGAGTTGCCCTTTGGCCAAGGGTCTGCCTGCTGGCCTCCTGAATAAAGCTCAAACTCCTTTCCTTTCCTTTTTTTTTTTTTTTTTTTTTTTTTTTTTTAAGTAGGCTTTCACGTCCAATGCAGGGCCCAACATGGGCTCAACGTGGGGCTCAAAGACTTGAGCTGAGATCAAGAGTCAAATGCTTAACCAGCTGAGCCACCCAGGTGCCCCTACCCTTTCCAATCCAAACTCATCTCTCCAGTAATGATCTTTCAGGTGATGGGCAGGTGAACTTGGGTTCGGGAACAAGAGTGTAATGGAGATATTCCTGTCTGTTAGTAGCAGAAAGGAAGGTCTCTTACAATGAGGCCTCGCGAAGCTACAGCAGGCTTTAGAGCTAAGTCTGAAGAGATAATCAGGTATGAGGTACAAGGATGTGTGCAGAGTGTGTTCTGGAAGTTATAACTTGGACCAAAAGTGTGGAACGAAAGCTGAGGAACAGTGAGAGATGAGCCCAGGGAGTGGGGCAGGTCTCAGATCATGGGGGGTCTTGTATTTTGCCTAAACAAAGAGGCAATGGGAAGCTAGGAAAGGCTTTATGCAGGGAAGAGATAAGATTAGATCTGGGCTTTAGGAAGATCACTAGTGTGAATAATAAAGATAATAATGACAACTAACTTTAATTTACCAAATGCTTATTATGCCTCAGATACAGTGCCAAGTGCTTTACAAGGTCACAGCTTGGGATTTGAACCCTGGCAATTTGTTCTCAGAGCAGAGGCTCCTCACCATCAGGCTGTGGTGCCTGGCCTGGAGGCAGAGAGGTAACCAGGAGACTATGGAAGGAATGTGGATGAAAATAAAGTGCCAAAGCTATGGTGTTAGGTGGTGAGGGGATTTGGAAATGAAGGGGTGGGAGAAGTGGAGGTGTCCTCCACATTTCTGGTTTGAGTGCCAGTGTGGATGGTGGCACCATTGAGATACACAAAAAGCAGGAGACCATCATGATCAAGTTATGAGTTTGTTCTTCTTTTTCACCCTCCCTGTACAACTTCTAAAGGGAAAGGCATGAGCTCTCAGACAGACCACAATGGTTCTTGCAAACTGCTCTATTTAAACTGTATGAACAACAAGATGCAGTGTTCATTAAGAAATGCAATTTTCCATTTGGTGATAGTTCCAATATTGAAATAGGCTGAATTTGATGCAATAATAAACATATCTTATGAATACCAAAGGTAGGCTTTTCAATTATTTTCTCTGTCTAAAAAATAGACTGTTTTCAATTTCTCATTTGGTCAAATGGAGGGGTTATTAAGTTCATTACCAACGATGTTATTTTTGGCCACGCACTTTTAGAGCGGAGCAGTTGTTGTGCATGAGGACTTCAGTCCTTGCCAGAACAGGACAGGGATGAGAACACCGTATCCAGGGCAACCAAGAGCTCAGCCTTTTCAGTCCATAAATAATCATTCCTCAGTTTGCCCTTTGTAATGCTGGTCTCCAAGTTACTTCACGACAGAAAGAGCTTGTTTAGGGGGCCACTGTTCTTTTTCTTACTTTCCATTTAAATGACTGCTAAGGATTATTTTATAAGAAAGGACATATTTCAATTCCATTCTAAATTATATTGGCAAAAGTCTGCAACTTCTTTTTTTTTTTAAGTTTATTTATTTA